CAGCAGCACGGGTGCAGAGGAGGTGCTAAGACTATTCACTCCTGAGGAGTTGATTCTTTTTGAATGTTGTGTGTGTGTGGGGGGGGGTCTTTCTATATGCAAACACATACATATATGTATACATACATATAACATATGATAAAATATGTTATCGGTTCATACTGCTTCCAATCGAAATTCAGAACTACAAGATAGCTACATGGTATCCACATCTCTTTTTCCCCTGGTGGCTCAGTTTCTAAAATTCGCTGGGTCTAGACTGCTGTGGTCTCTTGCTGCCCCCCAGTATGGGAGTGAGCAAAACTACTCCCAATTCCAGCTCTTCCCGAATTGTCCTGTGGCATGTTTCAGTGACCACCGCATCTTAAAATCAGCAAAATGTATTGAGATGTTGCAGGTGGAGACTCCAACAGGGGTGGCAGTCCATGGTGTCTGAATGTGGCCTATAGATATGTTTTATTGAGGCTGAGTTTTTAATTTTTTTTTTTTGAGACGGAGTCTTGCTCTGTTGCCCAGGCTGGAGTACAGTGGCCCAATCTCAGCTCACTGCAAGCTCCGCCTCCTGGGTTCACGCCATTCTCCTGCCTCAGCCTCCCTAGTAGCTGGGACTACAGATGCCCACCACCATGTCTAGCTAATTTTTTGTATTTTCAGTAGAGATGGAGTTTCACCATGTTAGCCAGGATGGTATCAATCTCCTGACCTCGTGATCTGCCCGCCTCGGCCTCCCAAAGTGCTGGGATTACAGGCGTGAGCCACCGCACCCAGTCAAGTTTTAAATTTTTTATATCATTGTTGGCTGTTGGCTTTTGAGGGTTGGTGTGTGTGTATATATGTGTATGTGTGTGTGTGTGTGTGTGTGTGTGTATGTATACATGTATATGTATGTATTTATGTGTGTGTATATATATGTATATATATGAGACAGAGTCTTGCTCTATTGCCCAGGCGGCTGGAGTGCAGTGGCGCAATCTCAGCACACTACAACCTCCTCCTCCCAGGCTCAAGCACTCCTCCTGTCTCAGCCTCCCGAGTAGCTGGGACTACAGGAGCGTGTCATCATGCCCAGCTAATTTTCATAATTTGTTTTTTGGGTTTTTTTGGTTTTGTTTTGTTTTGTTTGTGGAGACAGGATCTCATTATGTTGTCCAAGCTGATCTCAAACTCCTGGGCTCAAGCAGTCATCCCACCTCAGCCTCCCAAAGTGCTGGGATTATAGGCATGTGCCACCACGCCTGGCTAATTTTGTATTTTTAGTAGAGATGGGGTTTCACCATGTTGGTCAGTCTGGTCTCGAACTCCTGACCTTAGGTGATCCACCCACCTCGGCCTCCCGAAGTGCTGGGGTTGAGAAAGGATTTATTTATTTATTTATTTATTTATTTATTTATTTGAGACAGAGTCTTGCTCTGTTGCCCGGGCTAGAATGCAGTGGCACAATCTCAGCTCACTGAAACCTCACTGAAACCTCCACCCCCTGGGTTCAAGAGATTCTCCTGCCTCAGCCTCCTGAGTAGCTGGGATTACAGGCATGCACCACCACACCTGCCTAGCTTTTGTATTTTTAGAGGAGATGGGGTTTCACCATGTTGGCCAGGCTGGTCTCAAACCCCTGGCCTCGAGTGATCCCCTTGCCTCAACTTCTCAAAGTGCTGGGATCACAAGTGTGAACCACCACACCCGACCGGAGAAAGGATTTTTATGGAAGACAGCAACACGTTTGGCTGTTTTTGTGCTGAGAAGCAGAGTGTAGTAGAAGAACAGTAGATACTGGAAAAGGAGTCAAAAGCCATAGGATTTAGGGCCCACAACAAGGATTCTGGCTTTCACTCTAATTGCAAAGAGAAGATAATAAAACATCTCATTTTTGTTAAAAAGGTGGTGTGAGGTTTGTTAAAAAAGAGGTGTGAGGTGGTGGCTCACACCTGTAATCCCAGCACTTTGGGAGGCCAAGGTGGGAGGATCACTTGAGCCCAGGAGTTTGAGACCAGCCTGGGCAACATAATGAGACCCCGTCTCTCATTAAATAAATAAAATAAAATAAATAAATAAATAAGAAACAGAAGCAGCAGCTTGTGGAAGCGTAGAGTAGTGTAGAGAGAGATAACAGGGCCTTGCACTGGGCGAGCAACCGTGGAAAGAAACCTGCAGTTCCTGGCAACAGGGTGGGCGTGGCTCTACAAGTAAGGGAATGACTCCTTGTGCATCCAGGTGGGCAGTTGTGCCACATGGAATTACCTATATGGGAAGATTGGTATTTAACACACATGGAAATCACCATGCTACTTTCTTCCTCTATGATTTTGACTATTTTAGATTCTACACGTAAATGAAATCATGCAGTATTTGTATTTCTGTGCCTTTTTTATTTCACTTAACAGAATGTCCTCCACGTTCGTTCATATTGTCATATGTCAGGATTTTTTTATTTTTTTAAGGCAGAATAATATTCCATTGTGTATATAAACACATTTGCGGCTGGGCTCGGTGTCTCACGCCTGTAATCACAGCAGTTTGGGAGGCCTAGAAGGGTGAATCACGAGGTCAGGAGTTCAAGACCAACCTGGCCAAGATAGTGAAATCCTCTCTCTATTAAAAATACAAAAATTAGCCGGGCGTGGTGGTGTGTGTGCCTGTAATCCCAGCTACTTGGGAGGCTGAGGCAGAGAATTGCTTGAACCTGGAAGTCGAAGGTTGCGCCATTGCCCTCCAGCCTGGGTGACAGAGTGAGATTCCTTCTCAAACAAACAAATTCCTTTATTCATCCATCAACAGATAGTTGTTTCCATATCTTGGCCATGGTGAATAATGTTGCAGCTACGGGAGTGCAGGCATCCCGTGGAGTTTTATTTCCTCCGGATCTATAGCCAGAAGTGGGATTGGTGTATCCTAACGTAGCTCTAGTTATGTTTTGAGGAACCTCTATACCGTTTTCTGTAATGATTGTACCAATTTACATTCTTTTGATAGTGGCCATCCTAATGGGGGTGCGGTGATTTCTTGAGTTTGGGTTTATATTTCTCTTATACCTAGAGATGTTTACCATCTTTTTATATGCTTGTTGCTCGTTGCTCATTTGCATATCTTCATTGGAGAATTGCCTATTCAAGTCGTTTGTCCATTTTAAAATCAGGTTTTGGTTTTGTCGTTGTTGAGTTGTAAAAGTTCCATATAAATCCAGGATATATTTCAAATCAGATATATGCTATATAAGTATTTTCGTCTATTCTGTAGATTGCCTGTTTCCTTTCATTAGCTAAAGTTTTTAAGTTTGATGTAGTCCCATTTGCCTATTTTTGCTGTTATCTGTGCTTCTGATGACATATTCAAGAAATCATTGCCATCTCCAACATCCTTACGTTTTCCCTTTTACTTTAGTAGTTTATAAAAATTTTTGGTCTCACATTTAGGTTTTTAATCAATTTTGAGTTAATTTTTATGTATAGTATAAGGTCAGGTACAGGTTCATCTTTTGCATGTGGAAATCCAGCTTTGTCAACATCTTTTGCGGGAGATGATCCTTTCCCAACTGTGTAGCAGTTGTGTTCGTGCGGCCCACGCCATCCTGAAATTCACACGGACACAGAGTTGCAAGTTACTGCCCTCCGGGAACCTCCCCTTCTCTTCCGAAGAACCAGGAACCTGGGACCCTACAGCTCACCCGGGCCCTCCGGTAGCGTCTGGGCGCCTCACATTTCAGCGCGACCCCGCCCCAAAAGCGTGGAACTACACTTCCCGGGATGCCAGCGTCCTCCGGTGGACTCCATTTCCCAGAGGCCTTTGCGGCCGCGCTGCTCCTCTAGGTCCCAGGCGCGCCCGGAGCTCTCG